TGCCTCCTCGGCCTTGAGGTGACTATTGGCCACTTTAGTTCCTTAACAACTCACTCCCCCAACACCTTGCTCAGGCTTCCTTAGTCAACATGCAAAAGGCAGAGCCACCTAGAACTACACAAATTAATGGTGTCTGAGGATCTCTTGAGTCATCAAGTCTGGGTCCCTACTTTTGGCAGTACCATGTCAAATACTAGTTGAAAAACAGCTGGAAGGGATCTCAGGAAATCTTCTCATCCATCCCTCTGCCTAAGACAGAGCATCCCTGTCCAAACCATCCCAGACAAACATTTGTCTCACTTGTTCTTAAAGACATCTGATGGTGGAAGCTTCTCCTTGGGTCATCTCACCTAGGCTTAACCACCCTCAGAGCATGCAAGTTCTCAGCATCTCACCAACATCTCCTTTGTTGCACCTGAAGCACACTCCTCTTTGTCCTGTTCCTTTTGGCCACTGAGAAGAATGGATTCTTCTGCTTTCAAATCCTCTTGCCATTATCTCAGACATCTAGACTAAAGAATCGCACATTTCTTCCATCATTCCTCTTCTGTGGACATTATCCACATCTTTCATGAACTGTAGTGGCAAAACTAGACACAGTTTTCCCCAGTGCTGACCTGGACTTTCTCTCACAGACCTCCAAGTAGCTGGCTTTAAACAGCAAACTCAACAAAAACTTAAAAAAACCACATCTGAAAGTGAAACAGTGGAAGAAAATGTGATCCACAGACTGGATTTTGTTACATATGGTTTCCACCGAGACTCTGAATGTGTACTGCATTTCCTAGACTGCCTTTTCTAACCTCTGTGTTCCACAGTGGGTTAACTGCTTCCTTTATCACTCTTGATCTCTTTGATCCATGTTTGCCTCTCTCAGCAATGCCCCCTCTCACTACCCTTTCCTCCCCCTTTCCCTATTCCGTGCTACCTGTGAGTCATGGACATCTGACAGACATTATATTGTCTTTAGTATCTCTACATGCTGTAATTTTTCCATCCCAAGGCAAAATATCCCATCATCACTCAGGTAAGATATTATCATTTAAAAAAAAAATCAGAAGGGACCTAACAAAAAGCAGATTCTGCTAGGAGTTCACATTATGTAAATTAACTTTTTATATAATGTAGGTTATAATTATAAACTGGGTTTTTCAGAGGAACTGACAGAAGTGAGATGTCTGGCTCCTACTAAATGTCAAAGGGGTTTTGTCACCTGCATCTTAAATGTGACATGTGCCTGTATGCACCAAGAGACACTTGCATGTCTGAGTGATATTCACCCACAGATGAAGGCCAGTGCCAGGCCAGCATATGACTTAACCTTTCAAAATAAGGCTTAGGTAGAACTTAACCAGGGCATATGCCTTGTGATGAGTGATATGCACAAGAAGCATATTCCACCCTGAGCGAGGAGAGGTTCATTATGGGGAAGCATTACTATGTGTCTGAAATTTGTTACCCACAGGTGGGATTCCCTTTGTTGATGGCTAAGGACAGAAAGATCTTGCCAAGGATTGAGCCTCCAAATCCTTGCTCATGGGCCATTTATTAGGGCCATATTATCAGCCACAATGCTCAGACCCTGTGG